TAATATTTGGAGATATTTAAATATATATTATACATTTTAACTATTTTTTAAATATATATTTTTCCTTTACAGAAAATCAGACAGTGTATTAAAAGAACAATTTTCTATTCCGCCTAAAGGTTTGGAAATGTATGTGTCAGAAACAAAGTCGACCAATAAAATCTATACCAAATAGTTGGAAAAAAAATAACAGAAGTGGACAGCACGGATTTTCTGTACAAGAAGAGCAGTTGTTTGGAAGCAGTAGAGGAGAGAGAATCTTACCAACCTTCATAACTACCAATCCCTGCGGGGCAGAGATAGGAAGCTATGCCAGAGAGCAGCTTCTCAAGAGAGGGAAGCAGCAGAAAGCACTACCCTCAGGGAAGGGAGCATTCTGAGAAGAGCCTGAGGGCACTGAGGAGTCCTCTCTAAAAATGGAGCAGTTTCCAGAGAGAAAAAAGGAAAAAGTAAGGAAACAGAGTAGGAGATGAGAAAACAGGACAGAACCAGAATCTCCAGAGAGCTAAATCTGGAATGGTGCCAGAGGATGACGTGATGAGATGGAGCTGGAACAGTCTCAGGAACCCCAGCCTTGGTCAGCGCCAGGCCAGTCTCTGCGGATACTGCCACACAGCCACCAGCCACTGTTGTTTTACTCTGCTTGTGAGATTTTTATTTAAAAAAACTCTGAAAATGTTTAAATTTCTTTCTTGGAACGTGTTTGACAAAGTTCTAATCAAGAGCAAAAAAAATTTTTTTTTAGCTTACTGGAACAGAATAGAAAAAAACACTTATTAACATGATTCTTAAAGCTCAGAAGTACGTGTTGGAAGGACTTCAACAGTGCATTTAATTTACTCTATTAACCCCATAGCACTATACTTATACTCTAAAAATAACACTTGTTTCTCTGGAGAAGGCAATCTCAAACTTAACAAGCTGGGGAAGACAATGACAAGCTTTAAAGGTAATCTTTCCTACTAAACCTTAATTGAGGATGTACTTTTGGATGTTTACTCTGAAGCATTTAATTGGATCTTATATCCTCTGGTTCTGTCCAAGAGGAAAAGCTAGCCCATGATGTATTTATAATTATTTTTCAAATAACACATAGTTCACCCTTTCCCACCCTTGAAGAGGCTTTCATCTTGGTCTAACTCTATAAAACCTAAAAAAAATAAACATAGCTTTTCATTGACCTATAACAAAAAGACAAACTATGAGCAGCATCCAGGCTAGGACAGAAAAGGAATGCTCAGAGCTCTTATTCATACATATAAAATGGATTTCTTTAAGGTTGTTCTGGATGACACATCTGTCACTACCAGAGCAAATTAATTAGTCTTACTAGGCTAGTATAGGTTAATATTTTCTTTCCACTCTTACACATCCTACTGTATCCCTCCTCAAACTCTGTCATCGTAAGGTTTAAACTAGTGCTTCAGATAAATTCTGTACTTCATTTCTAAAAGAAATGATACCCACCACCTATCATGTACTGAGCTCCTACTGTGTGCCAGATGCTATGCTGCTTTATATAGATCTCATGAATCTTCACAACCATCTGTATGATATACAATATGGTGATTCAACATGTAAATAAATTAGAGTGTTTCTCTTTGGACTCTACACATAACAGTTTAACTCTCAGACAGTGAAGAATAATAATGAAAGAAAATAGGAAAAATGAGATTATCAGCTATATTAATTCCAATCAGCTCCATTAAATATTTATCCAAATGCACTATAAAATATTTAAATTATCAAATGTGTAATCTCCTTCCTGAGTCTTTATCCTTTCCCCAAAAAGATATTATAGCTTTTAAAATCGAAAGAGTGGCAGAAAAATGGTGAGAAGCAAGTTATACAGGAAACGGAACTAAATCAGTAGCATTTTATTTCTCATTTGTAATGAAGCTTTACAAAAATCTGTTTTATAAAATGGATTCACACACTTTCATTTAAACAATAGATTAAAAAAATTAAGAATAGATTAATTTTAAACAAAATCAGAAATGAAAGAGAAGAAATAACAATTGAAACCACAGAAATACAAAGAACAAGAAAATATTATCAAAAATTATATGCCAACAAATTGGACAATCTGAAAGAAATGCATAAATTCCTATAAACATACAACCTCCCAAAACTGAATTAGGAAGACAGAAAATTTGAACAGATGAATACCAGCAATGAAATTGAGTAAGTTATTTAAAAACTCCCAGCAAACAAAAGCCTGGGACCAGACAGCTTCATAAGTAAATTCTATCAAACATATAAAGAAGAGTTAATATTTATTCTTCTCAAACTACTGCCAAAAAATAGAAGGAAAGCTTCCAGATTCATTCTATGAGGCCAGCATTACCCTGACACCAAAACCAGATAAAGACACCACAAAAAAAAAGAGAACTATAGGCCAATAATTCTGATGAACAGAGATGCAAAAAATCCTCAACAAAGTACTAGTAAACAGAATCCAACAATACAGTAAAAAAGTCATTCACCACGATCAAGTGGGATTTATTCCTAGGAAGCAAAAGTGGTTCAATATTCACGAATCAATCAATGTGATATATCACATCAAGAAGTTCTGGATAAAAACCATATGATCATTTCAACAGATGCAGAAAAGCATCTAACAAAGTAAACATCCATGCATGATAACAAATCATCAACAAAGTAGATTTAGAGGGAAAGGCCATATATGAAAAACCCACAGCTAATATCATACTCAATGCTGAAAACTGAGATCTTTTCCCCTAAGATCAGGAACAACACAAGCATGTCCACTCTCACCACTTTCTTTCAACATAGTCCTAGAAGTCCTAGCCTTAGCAATCTGACAAGAAAAAGGAATAAAAGACATCAAAATTGGTAAGGAAAAAGTAAAACTTTCACCATTTGCACATGACATGACACTATATATAGAAAACACTAAAGATTCTACCCCAAAACTACTAGAACTGATAAATGAATTAGTAAGGCAAAGGATACAAACTCAATGTACAGAAATCTGCTGCATTTCTATACACTAATAATGAAGCAGCAGAGAGAGAAATTAAGAAAACAATCCCCCCCAAGAAAAGAAAATCAATATCACTTACAATGAAACCAAAAATAATAAAATACCTAGGGATACACAAATAAGGTGAAAGATCTGTACTCTGAAAACTGTGAAAGAAAATGAAGACAACACAAACAAATAGAAAGATATTTCATGCTCATGGATTGGAATAACAAATATTGCTAAAATGTCCATATTACCCAAAGCAATCTATAGATTTAATGCAATTTCTATCAAAATACCAATAGCACTTCTGACAAAACTAGAATTTAATGCAATTTCTATCAGAATACCACTTTTCACAGAACTAGAACAATTAATCCTAAAATTTATATAGAACCACAGAAGGCCTCCAACAGCCAAAGCAATCTTGAAAAAGAAGAATAAATCTGAAAGTATTACAATCACAAATATCAAGATATATTATTAAGCTACAGTAATCAAAACAGTACAGAACTGGCATAGACACTGATAAAAATATAAAAAAGAGAACAGAATAGAAAACCCAGAAATAAATTCATGATTATATGGTCAATTAATCTTTGACAAAGGAGGCAAGAATATGCAGTGGGAAAAGAGTCTCTTCAACAAATGGTATTGGGGTAAACTGGACAGTTCTGTGCAAAAGAAAGAGACTTGGACCACTGTCTTTCACCATATACATAAATAAACTCAAAATGCATTAAAGACCTAAATATGAGACCTGAAACCATAAAAATCCCAGGCAGTAATTTTGCTGACATCGGCCATAACAAAATTTTTGGAGATTTGTCTCTTGAGGCAAGAGAAACAAGAGCAAAAATAAGTAATTGGGATTATATCAAAATAAAAACCTTCTGCACAGCAAAGGAAACAATCAACAAAACTAAAAGACAAGGTAACAAATGGAGGAAGATATTTGTAAATGACATATTCAATAAAGGTTTAGAATTCAAAATATATAAACAATTTATATAACTAACAAAGGAAAAAAAAAACAAATAATCCAATTAAAAGAATGGGCAGAAGACATAAATGGACATTTCTCCGAAGACACCCAGATGGCCAAGAGAAACATGAAAAGATCCTCACCATCACTCATCATCAGGGAAAAGGAAAATCAAACCCACAATGTGATATCACCTCACATCTGTCAGAATGGCTAAAATAAAAAATACAAGAAACAACAGGCATTGGCACGGAAGTGGAGAAAAAGGAACCCTTGTACACTGTTGGTGGGAATGCAAACTGTTGCAACCACTGTGGAAGACAATATGGAGGTTCCTCAAAAAATTAAAAATAGAATTACCACACAATCCAGTAATTTCAATAGTGGGTATTAACCCAAAAAATAGGAAAACACCAATTCAAAAAGATATATGCACCCCTATGTTTACTGTAGCATTATTTACAATAGCCACATTATGGAAGTAGCCCAAGTGTCCATAGATAGATAACTGGATAAAGATGATGTGGTACAGATATACAATGGAATATTACTCAGCCATACAAAAGAATGAGATCTTGCCATTTGCAACAACATGGATGGATCTAGAGGGCATAATGCTAAGCCAAATAAGTCAGAGAAAGACAAATACCATATGATTTCACTCATGTAGAATTTAAGAAACAAAACAGATGAACAAAGGAAAAAGAGACAAACAAAAAACAAATTCTTAACTACAGAGAACAAACTGATGATTGGCAGAGGGGAAGATGTGAAGGAGATTAACAGTACACTTAGGGTGATCACTGAGTACTATATAGAATTATTCAATCTTATATTATATATATGTCAACTATACTCCAATTAAAAAAAGATTTAATTAATTTTGCCTAAGTTGATTCTTTCCTAAATAATTTTCAGCACTCATCAACAGGATGGTAATAAATATTGTAAATATTATGATGGACAGTGTTGAAAATTCAGGTTAATTGTTCACAATGCCAATAACAAAAAAATAGTAGCACTCACCTCCTTTGCACTCTTAATTTTAGTCAGAAACGTATGCAGTTCCATTGTTTCTGCAAACAGTGCACGACATACTGCCTGATAATGATTTGGTGCCTCTGATTCAGTTGGAAGATGAGCAGCACATAACTACAGAAGAGGAAAATAAAATAATAATGCTCATTTATTATTTTGGGATTTTGGTATCTTAAAAATAGACATATCCCATATATTCATATTTTCATATCAGACAGCAAGGCAGTTCCCAGCATCCAAAGCCTAATGCATCACAAAACCATCAGTACAATCTACACAATTATATGGAAAAAGTGCTCTATTAACAAACATCCAACAGCACAGATGAACTTCATAGAATTCGCTAGCTTCTATTTGAAAATGATAGAGGACATTTGTAAAATTTTGGTTGCAAGCAGAAAGGGAACTACCATTTACTGAGTATTAATCATAACACAGGTGTTTTAATAGCTATCATTAATTTTTTTTACCATGCCAAGTACTTGTATTTGACATGTCAATATACAGCATAATAGCATTTACTCTTCAGTGTAACCCTGAATTATCTCCATTTTATAGCAAAGGAAACTGAGGCTAAGAGGACTCACGTGACTTGTCCACAGTCAGAAAGCTGACATGAGAGAGAAGAATTAAACATAGTCTTACAAGATTCTAAAGCCCAGGCTCATCCCAATACATACTGAATTGTGTAATGCAGTAAAAAGACATGGGTGCCTGGGTGGCTCAGTCAGTTAAGCATTTGCCTTCTGCTCAGGTCATAAACCTACAGTACCAGGATTGAAACGTGTGTCAAGCTCCCTGCTTAGCAGGGAGTCTGCTTTTCCCTCTCCCTCTGCTCTGCCCCTCCCCCACACTCCCTAACTAGTGCTCTCTTTCTTGATCACTCTCTCGCTCTCGAATAAATAAAATCTTAAAGAAAGAAAGAAAGAAAGGAAGAAAGAAAGAGAGGAAGGAAACCCATCAGATTGACAAGTGGATCATCAGTAAATGGAGACTGGAACAAAGAGGGTGGAGGGCAAAATAATTCCACTGGAGGTAGCTCCAGTCCCAATGTCTTCTACTGTACATAGTCCATAACCCCCAAACTACTGGTGGGTAAAAGATGCAAGTTAGCATCATACACAACAATTTAGAAAAATCAAACATCATTTAACTTATTAGATTGGAAAGACACTCTATCATGAGTCTAGTGCATGGTAATAATTTTACTTTTGTAAAGTAATAATTTTGTTTCCATGTATTACTTAGTTATGTTTTAAGGTACTTCATTTACTTTAAAAAGCTATGAGTTCTCCCCTAATTCTTCACTATATTCAGTAAATTTGATATTTGAATTCAATTACTGAAAATATACATTTTATTATATTTTAATAATTTCTATCCATTGGAGAGTAAAAGATATCTTTGTAGATTATATTATCTTTCATAATTTGGATTTTGTTTTCATTTGTAGTAAGTATCACATGGAACTTATTAGATAGATTACTATCTTTAATAAAGTATACTCTTCTCAAGAAAAGTATATTGGGTTTCAGTGAGAAATATTCTCCACAGTATCCAAAAGAAGGCTAAGAACTGATTTATCAGGAAGCATGAAAAGCAAAAATCTCACAAGCTACACAATGGAATATTACTCAACCATAAGAAAGAATGAAATCTTGCATTAGCAATGACATGGTTGGAACTACAGAGTATTATGCTAAGCAAAGTATGTTGGTCAGAGAAAGACAAATGCCATATGACACTGGTGTAAAGGTAATATCTAGGTCTAAAAATGTTTTTTAAAATGCATAGAACATAATCCTATGCATATATAAGATCCAAAGGAATCCACAAAGAACTATTAGAGTTATGTAATAAGCAATTTCAGCAAAGTTGTGGGATACATACACAAAGAGGTGTATTTCTGTATCAATGAATAATCAGAAAATGAAATCAAGAAAGCAATTCCATTTATAAAAGTATTAAGAAATGATCAAGAGGGGCACCTGGGTGGCTCAGTGGGTTAAGCCTCTGCCTTTGGCTTGGGTCATGACCTCAGAGTCCCGGGATCGAGCCCTGTGTTGGGCTCTCTGCTCAGCAGTGAGCCTGCTTACCCCCCTCTCTCTCTGCCTGCCTCTCTGCCTACTTGTGATCTGTCAAATAAATAAATAAAATCTTAAAAAAAAAAAAAAAAAGAAATGATCAAGCAATAAATTTAACCAAGGAGGTGCAAGATATACATACTGAAAACTATAAAACATTGCTGAAAGACCCAACTAGATAGAAAGAGGGCCCATATTCATGGGTTGGAAGACTTAATACTGTGAAAATGGTAATACTACACAAAGCGATGTAGACATTGAATGCAATCCCTAATACCAATGATTTTTTCTTTTCTTTTCAAGAAACAGAAAAGCTGATCCTAAAATTCATATGGAGTTGCAAGGGGCCTCAAATAGCCAAAACAATTTTGAAAAGAACAAAGTTGGAAGACTTATAGGTTGAATTTCAAAACTCACTATAAAGTTACTGTAATCAAATCAATGAGGTATATAAGGAAAGACCTATATACATCAACGGAATAGAACTGATAGTTCAGAAACAAACCCATATATCTTTGGTTGATTAATTTTTGACAAAAGTACCCAGACCATTAAATGAGAAAAGAACAGTCTCTTCAACAAATGATGTTAAGAAAACTGGATATCCACATACAGAAAAATGAAGTTCACCCTTAACTCATACTATAGATATAAAAATTAACTCAAAACAGATCAGAGACATAAATATAAAAGCCCAAAGTATAAAACTCTCAGAGGAAAACATAGGGATAAACCTTCTTGTTCATGGAGTTGGTAATGATTTTTTAGATATGACCAAAGCATAACCAATAACAACAAAATAGATAAACTAGACTTCAACAAAATTAAAAGTTTTTGTACATCAAGGGAATTAAAGGGCCCATATTATGGGAGAAAATATTTGCAAATCAGATATCTGATAAGGTCTATTATTCAGAATTTTAAAGAACTCTTTTTTTAAAAAAGTTTATTTATTAGGGAGAGAAAGAGAGAGAAAGTGGAAGCTAGGGAAGAGGGAGAGAGAGAATCCCAAGCAGGCTCCACACCCAGTGCTGAACCCAACATGGGGCTCCATCTCAAAACCCTGAGATCATTACCTGCGTTGAAAACAAGAGTCAGATGCCTAATTGACTGAGCCACCCAGATGCCCCCATATAGAACTCTCAAATGCAACAAAAAGACAACTCAATTTAAAAATTGACTTATACAGACATTTTTCCAAAGAAAATATACAACTGACCAAAAAGCACATAAAAAGATGCTCAATACCATTAGTCATTTGAGAAATGCAAGTCAAAACCACAATGACATACCATTCAGACCCAGTAGGATGGCTACAAAAACCACCACCGAAAATGGAAAATAAATGTTGATGAAAACGTGGAGATACTGGAACCCTGGTGTATTACTGATAGAAATGTAAAATGGTACCGCCACTGTGAAAACAGTTTGGTGATTTATCAGAAAGTTATCATGTGCTCCAGCAATTCCACCCTTAGGTAGATTTATATGAACAACATGGGTCTGAACTGCTCAGGTACACTTACATGCAGATTTTTAAAATATAAATACAGTCTTGTATTTGTAAATGTATTTTCTCTTCTGTATGGTTTTCTTAGTAACATTTTTTCTAGCTTACTTTATTGTAGGAATACAGTATATAATACATATAACACACAAACTATGTATTAACTGACTGTTTACATTATCAGTAAGGCTTCTGGTCAACACTTGGCTTGCTTAGCGATTAAGTTTTTGGGGAATCAAAAGCTATATGCAAATTTTCAGCTGTGCAGGGGGACAATGTCCCTAACCCCTGCATTGTTCAAGGGTCAACTGTTTATCAAAAAGTCTAAAAATCTAGTGCTCAAACAAAAGCTTATATATCAATGTTCATACCAGCAACCATACATATTAGCCCAAAGTGGAAACAATTCAAATGTTCTGAACTGATACATGGAAAAACAAAATGTGGTATATACAGACAGTGAAATCTTACTCATTCATAACAAGGAATAATGAACCTTAACACCATTATGCTAAGTAAAAGCAGCCAGACACAAAAGGTCATATATTGTATGATTCCATTTATATGAAATTCCCAGAATACAGAAATCCACAAAGTCAGAAAGCTGATTTAGTGGTTGCCAGGGGCTGAAAGGTGAAGGGCAACAAGTGATGAGTATGGGGTTTCCATTTGAGGTGATAAAGAAGTTCTGGAACTAGGTAGTGGTTATGGTTGAACAATACTGTGAATGTACTTAATGCCACTAACTGTACACTTTAATTTAAATGATAAGTTGTATGTGTATTTTACCACAATTTAGAATATGTTTTTAAAACTTCACAAAGAATAATCAAATTCCGCAAAATCTCCTTTGAGACAGAGGAGAAATAATCCAAGTGGTTATTTCAGTGTCCATGAACTGCTTGATTTTTATTTTGTTCTTTGTTCCTAAATGCATCGTTTCATTTAATCCTAACAACAACCCAACCGATAGATACGGAAACTGAGATTTAAAACAGCTGAGTAATTTACCCAAATCACATAGCTAAGGCAGCAGAACTGGAGTCAAACCCAAGCAGTCTACCTCTAGATCTAAGCCAGGTTCTTATGCACTCTAGAATCAATATGTATTACTTTTATATTAAAGAAAGTAATGTTTTTAAAGTATTTACGCATACAGCATGGTATATAGTAAGCATACAACAAAACCATCTTTTACAGTTACCAAACTCTGCATTATCCACCATGTACCCTTTTTCTCCCTTACTCTGTCCTATGAAGTGGAGAAGGCTCTCTGAGCCTTAGTTCTTCCATGTGTAAAATGGTTATAAAAATGCCTTCCCAATCCACCTCAGAGTGTTACTGTCAACTATGTATCATGTTAAAAAATAAATTACAATATTAGTTGAATAAGAATGACTATTCAGGGAAGAAGTTACATACTAAAGAGGTCTTGTTCACTAAGAATTAAAAACAAGCTATCTCCAAGTTTCTAAATATTCTATTATTTATATTATTCAAATACAGTTTCATATTTCCACTTTAAAAAAGTAAAAAGCAGCTATATTCCTTCAGTTAATTCTTGTCTTCCCTTTCTACAAAGTAAACAAGAAATTGGTTACAGTTTACTAACTGGAGATTTTAACCCACTAATCAAACCACAAACTCTACGTATCTCTATATGGCCATGAATAATGGGTTTTATGATATGTAAACACCCTTTTAATTATTTTTCATATTATGATAGCAGTAACATAGGTAGGAGGCAAGATGAAATAGCTCAAATTAAAAAAATAGAAAAATGAAATGAAAGTTACTGGATCAAATTGCTGAATGTCCTAGAATTTTTGTTTTATAAGTCAACATATTCAATGTCATTGAATAAGAATTGTAAGATTCCAATAAATCTCTAGCACTCATCTTCTAAATCTGTAGTATAAGAGAGCAATTTGGCAATGACATCTACCATTCTACTGGTCAGGTGGGTGTTCTCCTCCTCATTCACCACTCCCTGTTCACTGCCCCCTACATCCTCCCTACCAAAAAGCTTTTTAAAGGCATAAGTATGTTTATGTCTTAATGGAAATTTTTCTACTCTTCAATTTTTATCATTATCATTGGTCAACAATGGAACAAATAGGTTATTTGTGGGCTGTAGAAAGTTTTAACTGGCCTTTAAGTGTACATATTTCAAAATATATTTTAACAACTAGAAAATATAAAATGAATAAAATGTGTGAACTTTCTATCTGCATGCATGAGGATTTTACCTGCATAAGCTGTTAATTTAAAATGAAAAGTACTTCAAGTATTAAAAGAGCTAAAGAATATATCTGAATTTCATAAGCATCATAACTGTAGAGTCCTGTTCTAGAGTTCTCAGGAGATTTATGATCTAAGAAGGGACAAGAAGCAGGGTATGCTGCAGTACACCTGAAAAGTACGGTCTTCAAGGTTTCTCTCTATTCTTGTCTATAGGACACTTTTAAAAACATTGGAAAATAAGTGATATATAAGCAACACTGCTTACAAAATCTAGTAAACATCATATGTAAATAACTCTAAACAGAATGCTCTTTTAAAGCTAAGCTGATAAATCTTAATTTTAATCTGTGCATTTGGCATTATGTCCTTCAAGTACAACAGAAAGTTTAAGGAGAAAATTTCATTCAAGCTATAAAACTTGTTTCATTACATATAAATATCACTAAGTAGGTCAAGAAAACAAAGTAAAACAGCTGTGATATTTGAGATGCAGAATTGTCATATAAATTAGTGGATCACGATTGTTATTTATTCCATAAAAAAGGAAAATGCAGGTCAACTGAAGACATCATGTGGTTAAGTTAGTGTATAATATGTAATATTAAGGCATATATGATATCTAAAAGGGGTTTCCTGAGAGTTATAATTCAATCACAAACAGCCATGTTGGGCACCTGGGTGGCTCAGTTGGTTAAGCGACTGCCTTTGGCTCAGGTCATGATCTGGAGTCCTGGGATCAAGTCTTGCATCTGACTTCCCCTGTCTCATGTGCTCTCTCTCTGTCCCTCAAATAAATAAATAAATAAAATCTTAAAAAAAAACCGGCCATGTTGAGGTTGTGAACAAATCACAAAACCAGGACTGTTTTAGTTCCTTATTCCTTTCACTAATAGCTGAAGATCTAAGACCTTTTATTAGATGCTTAATTCTCATTTACTTTTTTTTTCAGTTTATAACTTTTTTCCCATATGCTTTTTTTAAAAAGTTTCTATTTAAATTCCACTTAGTTAACATACAGTATAATATTAGTTTCAAGCGTACAACACCTGGTGCTCATCACAACACAGGCACTTCTCAAATCCCATCACCTATTTTCACCACCCCCCTGTAACCACTAGTTTGTTCTCTACAGTTTAAAGTGAAATAACAACTCTTAAAAAAAGAAATACTTAAAGCAATTTTACAACTCAAAAAAAAAAAAAAAAAGAAAAAGAAAAGAAATACTATGTAAATTGCCTCTTTACCTTCATGACATCTCTATATGACCGGATGGCTGAAACTTTTCTCTTTTCATCTTCTTCATCTTCCAGGCCTTCATCTGCAGCCTCATAGCCTTCATCGTTGCTGCCATCAGCTTCCACTGTATTGGCCATGTGATCAATGAGCTGCTCCAGAGGGGGGCTTAACTCCCTTTCTTCATTCTCCTTCAAACCATAGTCCAGTGCTTTATAAATAACAATTCCCAGAGATTCAATAACCTAGGGACATTAAAGAAGGTGATTAATGAAGATGACTAAACAGCTTTACAGAGCTAATCACAAGACATAAAATATTTAGTATGACACTTAAGCTAGGTTTAATATATTCCATTTCAGAAACTGATAACAAATTAGATTTGAGGGGATATTTAAGTCTCACCTATGCATTAAAAAAACAATCCCAAATGGGAATTTTTTTGTAATTTCTTCAATCCAGTAGATAACAATACACAAACCTTTCTGTTTTCTTAGATTTATACTATACACTAAAATCTGTATTATCCATTCATATAAAATACTAACCAGGTTAGTTTTCCACATTGCCAAAAGATATTTCTGAGATCAGAAAGAGCTATCAAAGAGCTCTTATATCGGTGTTTATCAAAGTCTATTTCATAAAATACCAGTGATCTGAGAGATTGAAAACTCAGTTACTAGTAGCAGCTAACTTAAGCTAAAACAACAACAAAAAAATCTATATATAGCTACACACTGCTCATTGAGTTCCATTTAATTATTGGAACATATTTCTCATATGATATAAACAAATGAAAGACTTTTTCAAACTCTGATTTCATTGTGGTGGATAGATAATCTTCCTTCCCCACAACCCCACCAATAGTACCCTGTGAAATATAAACCTGCTTTAGGAACACTGGGTATATATCACTGTCTAATATCACCCTCACAGATGCTCTAGACTTCTGCCAATATAGGTATTCTACTCTATTCCTCAACACAGCCTTTCTTTTCTGCTCAGAAGAATCATATATAAACAATCCTTCTGTTTTATTTTGCAATGTTGATGGCTCATTTCACCTTAGCTATTTTGTGGGGAAGAACATAGGCAATGAAGCCAAAGATTTAGGATTAAATGCTGACGTTTGGGGTGCCTGGATGGCTCAGTCAGTTAAGTGTCTGCCTTTTGCTCAGGTCGTGATCCCCGAGGAGCCTGCTCCTTGCCCTTCCTTTGCCCCTCCCCGTCCCCCAGCTTGCGCTCTCTTGCTCTCTCTCTCTACTAAATAAATAAAATCTTTAAAAAAAATAATAATGCTGACTTTCACCACTAACCATTTGACTCAGGGCAAATTATTTATTTTAGTCATGATTTTTCTTATCTGTAAAATGAGTATCAATGATTATCTACATCTCATGAGATTTTAAGACTAAATGTTATCTCCCTCTCTTACTTGCCCCAGGTCTCCCTTTTCCAGTGTTTATTCAGCTACCCCCATAAATAAACAAACAAACAGATCTATCCTTTTCTTCATCCCACTTGTAGCCATCATCAATACTGTCTATTTTAAAAAGTTTTTTAGGTGGTATCGAAGAAAAGGAAAAGTCAGAAGATTTAAAGACAAATTAAACACAATAGAATTATTGTCATCACATATATACTATAGTCCTTAAAAGCACTCAGGGAATTCACTCAAAAAAATCTCCACAAAATCTGAAATTTACCTTATCAAGTGAGATAGTATTTTCTCAACACAAGTTTCAAAATGAATATGACTTAAAAATTCAACTTCTGATTTTTAAATAATACTGTTTTTTTTTACTATTTCTCATAGAAAATACAGAATATTTTCATTGACTTGTATAGTCTGACTGGAACTCTAATCCTTATTTTCAAAGTTGAAGGGAACAAAAGAAAAAATAAACAATCAGGACCACATCAAAATAAAAGCTTTTATACTGTGACGGAAATAATCGACAAAACAAAAAGGCAACCTACTTTAGATATTAGATATTTGCAAATGGGATATCCAGTAAGGGGTTACTATCTAAAATACATAAAAAACTTCTATAAGTCCACATCAAAAAACAATCAAGTCAAAAAAGCGCAGAGGACCTGAATAGACATTTTTCCAAAGAAGACAGACAGATAGCCAACAGATACATGAAAAAATGCTCAATATCACTAATCATCAGAGAAATGCGAATCCAACACACCATGAGATATGACCTCACAACTGTCAGAATATCTAAAATAAAAAAGACAAGAATAACAAGTGTTGGTGAGGATACAAAGAAAAAGGAACCTTCATGCACTGTTTGTAAAATGTAAATTGATATACCCACTGTGGGAAACTGTATGGAGGTTCATCAAAAAATTAAAAATAGAAATTGCCATAAAATAAAAAAAAACAAGAATTGCCAATTAAATCCTCCACTACTGAATATTTATCCAAAGAAAACAAAAACACTAATTCGAAAGGATATATGTACCCTTATGTTTATCGCAGAGTTACGTACAATAGCCAAGATATGGAAGCAACCTAAGCGTCCACTGATAGAAAAATAGATAAGGAAGATGTGGCACGCATGTTCATGCACGCACACACACACACAAATATTACGCAGTCATAAAAAAGGATGAGATCTTGCCATTGCAACAACATGGATAGACCCAGAGGGTATTAAGCTAAGTGAAATAAATAAGACTGGGAAAGACCAATACTATATGAGTGCACAATATGTGCAATCTAAAAAACAAAACAAATGAATAAATACAGAGAACAAATTGGTGGTTGCCAGAGGAGAGGGGCATTGGGGGATGGGCACAATGGGTGAAGGGGAATGGGAAATAAAGGATTCCAGTTATAGAATGAATAAGTCACATAAAAGGCACACCATAGAGGCAACTGGGTGGCTCAGTCAGTGAAACATTTGCCTTCTACTCAGGTCATGACCCCAGGGTCCTAGGATTGAGCCCTGTGTCAGGCTCCCTGCTCAGTGGGAAGTCTGCTTCTCCCTCTCCCTCTGCTCCCCACCAACTCATGCTCTCTCTGAAATAAATAAAGAAAATCTTTTTGAAAAAAGGCACAGCATAAGGAATATAGTCAATGATCCTATAATAGTGTTGTGATGGGCACAGCATAATGTATATACTTGTGGAATCACTCACTATGCTGTACACCTGAAACTAATGTAACACTGTGTGTCAATTACACTCAAAAAAGTAACAAAAGATGACACACAAAATTAACCATCACAAGTTTATCCCTTGTGAATCTGGCACTCATACTCATCTCCTTAGCCTCCTTAAAGTCCATTCTACTATGCTATCAAGTCTGCTGCTTCAGGACAGTGGGAAACATAGTAAGACCAGTGAATTACACTGTATTTCCTATCGAGTTCCCTGATCAGAAGTAATGCTGTGTGGAATACAATGATGGTGAATAAGGCATTTTATAAATCCTAGTTAAAAAAAAAAAAAAGATTTATTTATTTATTTGAGAGAGAGAGATCACAAGTAGCCAGAGAGGCAGGCAGAGAGAGAGGGGGAAGCAGGGTCCCTGCTTAGCAGAGAGCCCGATGCGGGGCTCCATCCTAGGATCCTGAGATCATGACCTGAGCCACAGGCAGAGGCTTTAACCCACTGAGTCACCCAGGCACCCCTATAAATCCTAGTTTTGGCAGAAGCAGTGCATGCGAGGAAGGCAAATCCATATCAAAAGTAAGTAACTCTTCCAGTAAGAACAAAATGCCGCCCCTTCCATGGTGGAAGCAGTCCTATGTACTCAACCTGCTGCCAGGCTGATTGGCTGATCACCCAGGGGAACAGTGCCATATTGAGGACATAGAGTTAGTCTCTGCCTGGTGGCAGATCCGTCTCTCCACCAGTGGCTAAAGCTAGATCAACCCTGGTGAATGGAAATCTACGTTGAAAAGCTCCTGCAAAGTCTCCATCCCTGCCATTGTAGCCATGTTCACAAGCCCACTGTGTGATAACAAGGTAGCCGGGAAAGGAGGCTGACTGGTGTCCACAAAACAGGTCATCTCATCCATTTGAATATTAAAATCCTTCTCTTGGGGTGCCTAGGTGGCTCAGTGGGTTAAGCCTCTGCCTTTAGCTCAGATCATGATCTTAGAGTCCTGGGATCGAGCTCCGCATTGGGCTCTTTGCTCAGCAGGGAGCCTGCTTCCCTCTGTCTGCCTCTCTGCCTACTTGTGGTATCTCTGTGTGTCAAATAAATAAAAATTTTAAATAAAATAAAATAAAATCCTTCTGTAATGAAGTCACTCTTTGGTGAGCATTCACCTGAGACAAATATCTTCACTTTTTTTTTTTTTTTTTTTTTGCCCAGAGAAGTCTATCCACGTATCTATTCCCCAGATTTCCTTTTCACCAATATGGCAATCATATTCCCTCCAAGCAAAGTGCACAGCCAGGTATACTTTTCAAAGTTCTGCCCACTGGGAGGATTCCCCTTCAGCACTGTCCTTCAGTGACATCCCTGAAAGGGGCTACATGCTAACTGTCCACTTTCGACTGGCACCTGCATATTATACAGAACCATCTGTAAACCAGGCCCAGGTCTTCTCTTCTTCTGTCAGCTGATTGAAGAACTCCCCAGAAGGCAAAAAGGGTAGAGGCTAGGAAAGAGAAGGGAGTGTAGCAGAAGTACCTCTGGGCAGTGCTTTCTGGGCCCACTTGCACCCAATCACAGGTATGCCATTCCAAGTGATGATGCAGTGTTGCTATGCACACCCAACTTCAAGGTTTAAAGAGTCAGACAATACCCAGTTCATGATGGGCAACTCAGGTCACATGGTAACTTGATGGACTGTGGTTAAGTGTTCAGTCTGTACTGTGGCCCAGTAGCTGGCCAAGAGCTGCTTCTCAAGAGGAGAATAATTATCCACAAAGGATGGCAGGGCTTTGCTCCAAAATCCTAAGGGTCTGCACTGTGATTTGCCTATTGGGGCTTGCTAAAAGCTCCAAACAGCAGCTCTATCCACTGCCAATTCAAGCACCATTGGATTTGCTAGACCACATGGCCCACGTGACACGGCAGCTTACAAGCAACCTGGACTTGTCGTGGAGCCTTCTCTTGTTCTGCTTTTCACTCAAAACTAGAAACTTTCTGGGTCATTCGGTATAGGCCAGAGTAATACAATATATTTATAGGAATATGTTGCCTCCAAAAGAAGCTACTAGCCATTATGCCTCCTTTGTGTTGTGGGTTTGGGGGTGGGGACTGATGCAAAAACTT